TTTCTGCAGATAAGAAAAGGAAATACTTTGATAAAATCTAAACCAAGAATTTTGATATTAGTTGCAACATCTGTCGCAACCTTTGTATAGTCCATGGATGAACAAAGACTGGATTGGCAAAAGTCAGCCAATTTTGATGCTTCGTGAGTGTTTCGGATTTTGGAGCCATCATATGCACAGTGGAGAAAAACACAAAATGCCAAAAATCACACACTTATGTATTATACAATTTCTACAAATTATTACAAAGGGTAGGCCACTTATGATTTCTCAATGAAACATGCAAAAAGTGAGTAAAAGAGCATTATGTTTTTATCCTATTCCTGTAACCTTGATTATCTCCTCTATGACATTTTTTCATGCTGTCTCAAAATGAAGGACCTTCTAGGATGATAACCAAGCAAAAAAACACAACCATCATAAAACTAAGATAACAATTTGAGTAGAGGAAGAAAAGAAGAAAGATACAAATAAAGCAACTAATGCAACCACTACAGAAAGTCCACGTACTGAAGGAAGAGAAAAACAGGATGAATACTTCATCTAATATGCCCTTAGGCACAACTATTATCAATGCAATCAAGAAACACTCTGAATACATAACAGAAAAACCAGTGCAAAGAAATCTACCTACATGTTAAAATTTGTGGTTGAATTATAAATCAAATAAAATGATAAGAAAGAAAAAGCAAAAGAATTTAATAAAAGGTTCAAAACAGAGTGATTTGATGATGTAGTAAAGATAACAAGTTCATACTCAATTTACCTCAAGGAATCAAATAGTCACAGTCTACTGACTAACAGCATGCTAAGATCACTGATTAAAGAACAGAAAATAGAAACTTCATTTCTAGTTCGGGATTACTTACCATCTGGCTCTTGAAAAGTTTGCAGATAAAAGACAACAACAGTTTTAACTGAAATAGATCTTTTCACATCTGTGTACAAGCATTTTGAAGAGGGGAGAGAGAGAGAGAGCAGAAAAACATGGAACACCAGAGAAAGAAATTGTGATTCTTTAAATTGCATTGCATGGGAAAATTTTGGTAACTTTTATGCAATCAATACAGATACACTTTCCATACATACATTCATTTTGTTGAGGACATATCAACACCATCATCAAGATGATCAATCAATATCATGAATGACCAGTCATCATTCATTTCGAATCCCTGAACCTCTCAAGTGTCAATATGTTCATTGTATGCTATAATCACAGAGATATTCATACATTTGAATCATCTAAGCAGCTAAAGGAGAAGCATTTACGGTGCAAATGATTGCCTGTGGGGATGGCCTCCAGCTTGGTAGAGTGTCAGATGATGTATAGCTTTAGCAAACAAATCCTTCAAGTCAGGATACTGAGCTATCACAGAACGAGCAGCCCCTTCAAGAGCATTCAATGCCCGGGCCTCCTCAAGGGCCTTGCTGTTGCCAGCATTCAATGCCAAATAACATAGCAAGACAAGTCCATGTACTTGGGCTTGATCATTACTCCGTAGCAACCTCATCAACGATGGAACCCCACCAAACTCAATAATTGCCTTGGAATGCTCTGAACCATTAAAATTATCTGGAGAAGCAAACTTCCCCAATGCACAAGCAGCTTCCATAGCTACTTCGACATTCCTATTACTAAGCTTATCAACCAAAGGACCAATTATTCTCGTTTCCCTTGCAGGAAAAGTTCGAGCCAAACACCCAATTGACCTAATAGCCGGAATCTGCAATGTTGGACTGCTTTCTTCCTGAATTACTCTCAAGAGCTGATCCAAAACCGCTTTTGCAGCTGGAGAATTAGTCTTGAAAGCGGCACGTCTAAGATCAGCATTCAACTCCGCAACTGCTGTAATCTCCATAATTGTCATCAAGCAGTTAAACTGCAAGTCCCCTTTCTCTTTCTCTACAATTTTTGCCAAACAAAGCAACCCTCTCGTCTCTGTAATTTTCCTACTCGTCGATAAACTCCCTTTGGACAGCTTCCACAAAGCCTCTGCACAACTAACTTGCAACTTAAGCTTCACCTCAGGACTCTCTGCTTCCCTTTCTTTCCTATTTTTGCTACTCCCATCTGAAAATGATGACGTATGGACCGACAACAATTTGGGATGCCTCTGGGACTTATCAGTCATCTCCTTATTCATTTGAACGATGGAATGAATACTAGCTTTCGCAGTTGGTGGCTTAACAACTTCCAAAACCATATCCATAGACAACAAAGAAACTAACTTTCTCGTCACATTTTCTCTTACAAACTCTTCCCTAGCAACTGGATCCATCTCCGCCATTCTCGCCACCAAATTCGCGACCATTATTTGAACTTTCATTTGAGCTTCTCCCAAAACCCCAACGATTATAGGAATTCCCATTACATCCACGATTAGCCTAACTCTTTCTTCGTCAGTTGCGAGATTGTAAAGCGCATTTGCCGCCGCGATTTGCGCTTCAGGGGAATCTCCCTCTTTTAACAGCTTCAGTAACGGTGAGACCCCGCCTTCCTCAACGATCATTTTCTTGTTGCGGTCGTTATCTTTGGCTAACGAAGCGAGTTCGTTAGCGGCGTCGACTCGATCTTTTAATGGGCCCATGTGGATCGTTGAGATGTAAGACCAAACCCAAGCAAGAATCGGGTCGTTGCTGGCGACTGGAGGAAGGGTAAGATTGGTTCCGTCCGAGTCGAAAAGCGAAAGCAGCCAACGCATGTCGCCGATGGAAGACTCCAGAAGATTCGAAACTTTGCGGAAATCAGCGGTGGTCGTGATGGAGAATAGGTGGCGCAGGGGAC